CGAGAAACCTGGTGTTCCCAGAGGTCTCCCATCACAGTACTAACCAGGGCCTGGCTTACTTAGCTTCTGAGGTCTCATGGCATCAGTTTTCACATGCAGGTTTGACAATGAATGTGTTGGGGCCCTCCAGCATGACTGTGTGTAGGGGCCACATTAAGCGCCATAGTAAATATGATTAGGATTTACAAAAGATGTCAAAAGCTCATTTCCCAGAGTTTGTCCAAAAACAACAAACAGGTCTCCATCAGGACCCCTGGCTGCTGTCACGGGCTGACGTTACGCTGCCTGATGAAAGATATAGACCACTGCTGTGCCAGGCATTCTTTCATCTCAACACCAAAACATTACATATGAAATGGAACAAAATCAATCCCAGATCTGGGCACGACGAGGATCAGCCAACAACCTCCAACAAGTCTGCTGCTGAGGGCCTTCAGACGTGTGTTAGCGTGGCACAAGCAGCTAGAACGTACAAGTATCATGTGTGTAAACCATGTTGTCAGTGATGGAAGAAAATAGATCTGAACCTATGCATTTCAAACATCAACGAGACAAAAGTAACGTCCGCTCGTCTTGTATGAATTTCTGCGTCTGTCTGGCTCTGCATTTAACTGAAGGAATGAAACTTCAGACTGTGTATGAGAATGCACGCATGGACCCCGATGGCACCTCCTCTGTCCTTTGGAAGTTGCTAGAACAAAACTGTTTTATACATTAGACAAGTTTCCTACAGTGGCCCTGTTTATTTTATGTAACGGACGATGATGATTTGACGGAATGAGCTGCGGAAGTTTGTTACGTATTTTTAGATGTTCACATTTGATTCAGAGATTATATATTTTTTTAACATAGAGTAGAAACAAAGTGATGATTTCATATAATCAAACAATTAACTCATTCACTGCCATTGACGTGTTTGTCTGAGACCGGTGATTTCTGTCAAACTTCCCTCTATTCGACTGCGGATAACAAGAACAAAACTAGCAAGAAACACACTTATTTTTTGCCGATGAAAGTGGACAGTCCAGTCTTTCAGAATCTGGTTTCATATTTCACAGAGACATAGCACACAAAATTATGTGAGTCTTGAAAATCTGTGAAATCTTCAAAAATGGCAGCAATCAATGAGTTAAATGTGAAACCAGACCAGATTTTTTTTTTTCCTCAAGTTTAATTGTTTGAGAAAAATGGACGGAAACCATCACGTTCGTTATAAATTTTTCAAGGGTCATTTATGTTTTTAACGATTCCTTTTTATATTAAGTGATTTCCTGATGTTGTGTTAACTATGTAAATCTTGTGGGATTTCACCTGCCGCTTTTTCAGACTGAGGACATTTTATTTTCTATGTCACTGAGTCACAGTAGAATGGTCCAATCAGAGGCTGATTTGGTCGCTTAAAATGTCGGCCAAAAATATTTGTCAATCTTTCCTTTTGATTTTATCCGCACTATCTCTTCAATGTGTCTGTGTTTGAAATCTTTTTTTTTTTCCAATCTATATGATAGTAATTTTAGTTTTAGAGTTATAACCTTTTAAAATCCAACCTTTTAAAACACCAGAGCAAGAGCTCTGGTGTGTGTCGTCTCTGTCTGGCGCACACCGGGGTAGTCTTGCACAGTTTTTCCAATGTGGTTTTACTGCAAATGGCAAATAAATGAATCTGAATCTGAATCTGAAATCCAGATACTTTAATTGACACTTTACTGTGAACACACTCATAGTGTATTTGATCATAAAGTTGGACTTTTGCAATAAAAAGTTCCTTAGTTATGAACTTTTTTCATTATTAACTATTAGTTAGTAACTATTTCAACGCTGCAATCATCACACTTTTTGTGTTACAAACTGACCCGGCCCCCATTGAAGAAGGGAAAAGTTATTTGGCCCTCACAGGAAAAAGTTTGGGGACCCCTGCTCTAAATGTTCAAGCAGAAGAGAAAAAGCATAGACTTTGGCAGCCTACTACAGGGCAGGCTTTCATCACTTTTTGCAGTGTACCGTAGACCACACTGGGTTTTTTGAGTCTTTCCTCGCAGATGGAGGAGGGTCTAAGGACAGTGATGATCCAGGACATTTATAGACATTTATAGACAGTGTTCATCCTCTTCATATGGATGGATGGATGGATGGATGGAAGAAAATAGATCTGAAACTATGCATTTCAAACATCAACGTGACAAAAGTAACCTCCGCTCGTCTTGTATGAAAGAGCAGCAAGAATACGAAAAACTGACAATAATTTCAAAAGTCATCATCTGCCCCTTTATTAGTCCATTCCTGGGTCAGGGGGTCAGGGGGGGGGGGGGGGGGGGGAGCTGCTACCCAAGTCTCATGGCACCAGTCCCTCGCTGATCCTCCTGCAAGTCGGTCCACGGGAAGATGGCTTCTCCGTTATTGAAGACATTAACCTTGATCTTTCAGCGAGGGCTTCAGGCAATGTGGGGTTAAATGTCTTGTCCAGGGACACAACAACAGCAGATATCAGTGGGAGCAGATGACATGGGTCGTAGTGGGATCAAACCCACGACAATTACGTCCAAAGACCAGTGCTCTACCAACTGAGCTACTGTCGCCCCCATGATGAGGCGGGGCCAGTTGTCTGCAATTCATAACACATTGCATTACAGCAGGTGTTGCAGCTAGATTTTGTGATATATTGCGATGCATGTCCCTCTTATTATTCAAAGACAATGGAAGGGGCCTTATTACAGGACATGACGATTAATAATTATGTCTTAGAACGCGTAGAACCGGTTTAACGGACAGGATTTTTCCCCCAAACACTAATGCCTTCAGTTAGATTAAGATATGTATTTAAAAAGCAGTAAATATTATTCCCACTTCTGCCACTTGATGGGTGTGTTGTAAACTACATACAGATTTTTTCATGAATTTTCATTTTACATTCTAGCAGATGAAATGCCAAAGTAAATACTTTCAAGTTCAGAGTCAGAATCAATGGCAGTAATGTTATCAAATGTGTAGAACATGTGTAGGTTTATTAAACTAACACAAACTGTATCAAATGTTTAGCTTCTGCTGCTTCTCTGTGACCACGGCTCTGTTATCTGGGCTCTACTCGACCCAAAGGACACAGTGCTAATAATAGACGTGTGTTTTATCGGACGAGTGGCGGAGCGTGCACGGGTCCAGGGGGCGTGGCCTAAAACAGTGCTGCTTTTATCTGCTTTTACATGAAGCCTGGACATTTGCACCTGATTTTCAAATGTAACACATTCAGCAAGAACTAAAGTTTTGTTGTGATCTCGTATCTAGAGGATTAGTTTGCTGGAAGTGGCTGGATGAAGTTAGCACAGAATTAGAAGTGTAGAGACTGACAGAGTTCAGACTGTTGCACGCGCCGCTCTTTCTTTCAAATATGTAAGTAAGTAAGTAATGTTTATTTATATAGCGCATTTTACAGACAAAGGTCACCCAAAGTGCTTTACAATGTTCAGAGTTCAGATATTGTTCCAATCATTCCACACACGGTGATGACGGAAGCGAGTCGCCGAACACACTGGACCATCAGCTCCAATCAACACCATCCATTCACTCTCATAAAATGTGTACTTGTAAAAATAAATATTCACATTGGACACACTTAATCAGATTCAGTTAAGTAAAGTTAAAAGTATATAGGAGGATTTTCCCGAATTCTAGAAAAGGCAGCACCCGGGGGTCCATCTCCAGCCCCTGATGCTCGGCTCGGTCAGGACTCTCGGAGTAATCGGATTTTGAGGTACGAGGAAACAGAGCCCCCGGAAGAAGCTTAAACAAACACGGGGAGAACATGCAAACTCCACTTGGAAAGGCCCTGTTCTGACCAAGATTCAAACCCAGGAGAAAGTCAGAAGTGTGTTTTTATATTTTAATGTTAAATTCCTGTTTCCCACACTGACCAATCCCACTGTTGTCCCATTGCATTTAACACGGGTCAAAAAACACGGGTCTGCAGCACATAATCTAAACTAGTGAGTTCTCCTTAATCTTGGTGAAGCGCCGGCTCATCTGGTCTCACCTGATCACAATAGTTCAGTTCTTAGATCTGCACTAGCTCCTGTGGCTCAGAGAAGAAACTTTAAAACAGCTCTGCATATCTGCATGTCTGACATGTTAATGCTATATGAACTCTAAGGAGCACAGGGACTGGCCTCCTGCTGGGACTCTGAGGAGCACAGGGACTGGCCTGCATATAACTGAAGGAATGAAACTTTTAATGTACTGTGATTATTTCTGACTCTAATGCCCTGGGTGATGTTGATTCTTCTTTCTTGTTTTGTTGCGCACGTTGAGTTGCTGTGGGTTCAGACTGTGTATGAGGATGCACGCATGGACCTCCGATGATACGGTTTAACAACACAGCGGAGGACAGACTTTCTTCTCGACACTCTAAATGTTCAAGCCGAAGAGAAAAAGTATGGACTTTGGCAGCCTACTACAGGGCAGGCCTTCATCACTTTTTGCAGTGTACCGTAGACCACACTGGGTTTTTTGAGTCTTTCCTCGCAGATGGAGGAGGGTCTAAGGACAGTGATGATCCAGGACATTTATTGACATTTACAGACAGTGTTCCTCCTCTTCCATAAGGACCAATGCCTTCTATGTGTTTGTTATTATTGCCTTTCCTGTGTTTGAACTGTTTGATTCTCTGACCTGTTGGCAAATCAGAAACTTTGTAAAGACTTCTGAGGCTGTTGTGATTTAGGGTGATACACAAATACATTTAATTGAATTGAGGTACACTGGAGGTAGACTTAAAATTGACTGGCGGTATCAATCAATCAATCAAATTAATTTATAAAGCAGTAAAACATCAAAACAATGCAAATGCAAATGAAACATATTGTATTAAAAAATCTATAAAAAATAAATTAAGACATTTTTCAGCGTGGACTTAAACATTGCCAGGGACGACCTGTCTCACAAGCTCAGGGAGAATTTTCAGATAGACTGAGATTAGACTTAAAATTGACTGAGAGAAGACTGGAGCTGGACTAGAGGTAGACTGGGAGTAGACTGGGAGAAGACTGGGAGAAGACTCGTGATGGACTGGGGAGAGGACTGGAGGTAAACTGGAGCTGGACTGGAGGCAGACTTGGAGAAGACTGGAGGACTGGAGATGGACTGGAGGTAGACTGGGAGAAGACTGGAGATGGACTGAAGATGGACTGGAGGTAGACTGGGAGAAGACTGGAGATGGACTGAAGATGGACTGGAGGTAGACTGGGAGAAGACTGGAGGTAGACTGTAGCTGGACTGGAGGTAGACTGGAGATGGACTGGAGGTAGACTGGGAGAAGACTGGAGGTAAACTGGAGCTGGACTGGAGGTAGACTGGGAGAAGACTGGAGGTAAACTGGAGCTGGACTGGAGGTAGACTGGGAGAAGACTGGAGGAAGACTGGAGCTGGACTGGAGGTAGACTGGAGCTGGACTGGAGGTAGACTGAAGCTGGACTGGAGGTAGACTGGTGATGGACTGGAGGTAGACTGGAGATGGACTGGAGGTAGACTGGAGCTGGACTGGAGGTAGACTGGTGATGGACTGGAGGTAGACTGGTGATGGACTGAGTTAGACTGAAGCTGGACTGGAGGTAGACTGGAGCTGGACTGGAGGTAGACTGGAGCTGGACTGGAGGTAGACTGGAGCTGGACTGGAGGTAGACTGGGAGAAGACTGGAGCTGGACTGGAGGTAGACTGGAGCTGGTCTGGAGGTAGACTGGAGCTGGACTGGAGGTAGACTGGTGATGGACTGGAGGTAGACTGGAGCTGGACTGGAGGTAGACTGGAGCTGGACTGGAGGTAGACTGGAGCTGGACTGGAGGTAGACTGGAGCTGGACTGGAGGTAGAATGAAGCTGGACTGGAGGTAGACTGGTGATGGACTGGAGGTAGACTGGAGCTGGACTGGAGGTAGACTGGAGCTGGACTGGAGGTAGACTGGTGATGGACTGGAGGTAGACTGGTGATGGACTGGAGGTAGACTGGAGCTGGACTGGAGGTAGACTGGTGATGGACTGGAGGTAGACTGGTGATGGACTGAGTTAGACTGAAGCTGGACTGGAGGTAGACTGGAGCTGGACTGGAGGTAGACTGGAGCTGGACTGGAGGTAGACTGGAGCTGGACTGGAGGTAGACTGGAGCTGGACTGGAGGTAGACTGGGAGAAGACTGGAGCTGGACTGGAGGTAGACTGGAGCTGGACTGAAGGTAGATTGGGAGAAGACTGGAGGTAGACTGGGAGAAGACTGGAGGTAGACTGGAGCTGGACTGGAGGTAGACTGGAGCTGGACTGGAGGTAGACTGGTGATGGACTGGAGGTAGACTGGAGCTGGACTGGAGGTAGACTGGTGATGGACTGGAGGTAGACTGGGAGAAGACTGGAGGTAGACTGGTGATGGACTGGAGGTAGACTGGAGGTAGACTGGGAGAAGACTGGAGGTAGACTGGAGCTGGACTGGAGGTAGACTGGTGATGGACTGGAGGTAGACTGGTGATGGACTGGAGGTAGACTGGTGATGGACTGGAGGTAGACTGGTGATGGACTGAGTTAGACTGAGTTAAACTTTGGTATTGTGCAGGAAAAGCGCAGAGCAGACGGCAGAGAACACAAACACGGCTCCGCTGCAGAGAGGATAACTCACAGTAAAAGAGACACTTGTGTGATTTAAGGAGGCGGCTGGAATGTAATATGTGTGACACAGCTAAAGCTACACTTGCTCTGTCTGGCTGAAGGGAGGGGATTAGAAACAGATTTTCAAAACTTTTTCGGTTGTTTCAAGTCATAGATTAAGTAGTCACAAATTAGCTGCTTAACGGAGCCAGAAATACACAACAACTGCACCTCCATATGACAGAGTATGCATGAAACTCAAGTGTTATGGGATGTGTTGAGTCTTAGCTGATTGTGAAAAGAAATAAAAGAAGATTGCAAGAAACTGCCTTTGTCATTTGTTGTGGGCATTTGTCCTCTCACTCCACACAGAGATGGGAGCGAGGTCACCAGTAAAGGAGGTGAATGCTAGACCTACTTTACGTGTTTTTAGTGGTGGGGGAAACCGGAGCACCTGGAGAAGGATTGAGTTTGTCTCCAGCTTTTGGGGTCCACTCGATGATGCCTGTGGCCCTTACACATTTATTTGACAATGGCTTCCACAACCACTAACAATGAGTGACCAGAGAAAGAGCAGAGAGTAACCAGAGAAAGACCAGAGAGAGAGACCGGAGAGAGAACAGAGAGAGAGAGACTAGAGAGAGAGACCAGAGAGAAAGACCAGAGAGAGAGAACAGAGAGAGACCAGAGAGAGAGACCAGAGAGAGAGAGACCAGAGAGAGAGACCAGAGAGAGACCAGAGAGAAAGACCAGAGAGAAAGAGCAGAGAGAGAGACCAGAGAGAGACCAGAGAGAGAGACCAGAGAGAGAGACCAGAGAGAGACCAGAGAGAGACCAGAGAGAGACCAGTGAGAGACCAGAGAGACCAGAAAAAGAGTCCAGAAAGAGACTAGAGAGAGACCAGAGAGAGTCCAGGGAGAGACCAGAGAGAGACCAGAGAGAGACCAGAGAGAGAGACCAGAGAGAGACCAGAGAGAGAGACCAGAGAGAGACCAGAGAGACACCAGAGAGAGAGACCAGAGAAAGACCAGAGATAGAGAGACCAGAGACACCAGAGAGAGACCAGAGAGAAAGTTGGTATTTTTATTTATAATCTCCAAAATATGGCCTAAACTGAAGGAAATCTCCGGATAGCGCAACTGAATATTGGGATAATGACTGAAGCCTTCCTGTATGGCTGTATGGAAGGACCCTTGGATTAGGGCCCTTGGATTTGGGCCCTTGGATTCGGGCCCTGGCGCAGTCCTCCTTATCGCACATGTTTCACCTCCAGCCGCAGCCGACAGCTTTGGACTCAGAACTCTCCCATGCGCCGCCAGCGTCACACAATGTTCGGTCACTCCGTCCACAATCCGGCCGCTCTCCCTCCGCCAACACAAACGCCGCCTGATAAGACCCAAAACTCGCCGTTCAAAAACTGCCGCACCCAAAAAGTATCGTTTAATAAAACCTTGTATGCCGAGCGTTGGACAGCGCGGCGTGGAGATGGGAGGTCTGCGTGATCGGGGAGCGTGTCAGGCTGACCAGAGGTAGGACTGTCTGGCTCCTCGTACACCCCCCCTCCCCCTCCTTGTGATGTCACTGCTCACGGCTGTCCACGGCCCACGCCTGACCTGTTTTCTCCTGGCACTGTGCTTTACAACGTGTCTGGAGTTGGCAGCGAGCATTCGTGGATCTGAGCCCGGATTGTAAGGTTACTTTGGTGGAAGTATTGTAAGCTGCTTAAAGATTACATAATAAACAAAATGATGAATGTAATTGTTTTTTTTCTCCCCTATTTTCCCAAAACACGCTGGGTCATTTTTAAGTCCAAATCGGCTCAAACATGATCCGACTTTGTATGGGAACTTGGTGATAAAGTTTCAGATTGGGGAAATATTGCCCTACCTCCCATTTCTGAAGAAGCCACGTGACATTTGGATAAGTTTCAATCTTTGTCGGAACGCTGGAACTTATCAGGACAGGTCTTTAAAGCTACTGTTGGAGGTTATTAAGAAAGAAGTCACATGGTTTTTCTGCTATAAACTATTCACAGATCTGTGTTGACTCAGGATACGGTGGGAAAAGGAGATGAGTTTCTTTGCCATGTCGGCTTTTCGAGACCAGAAAGACAGGAACGTGGCCAAATAAATACTATGAATGCTATAATATACAATAATCTTTGGTTTTGGGTCTGTGAAGGCTCTTCAAAATCTGTAGAATCAATCTAGTGGCCACTACAAAAGCAGCCACCACAAACATGAATGTCTGGTTTGTACTTCCTGGGGGCATGAGAGGTTTGTGGTGGCACCGTTGGGAGAAGTGAACCAAACCTGTCATGAGGAGATGTGAATGAGGACTCAAAAATGCATGATTTCAAAATAATGATTTAGTAAAAAAAGATGAGCTGTCCACAGTGAAAACAAACTAAAAAATCCAAACCGAAAAACCGGAACCAAGAACACAAACGGAACCAGGACAGAGACAATACCATGGACCAGCAACAAAGGGAGAGGAGCACAGGTACATATCATGGATCTATTATAATAACTGGATAGGGTATTACAGCTTGTAGCTGAATAACTCACGTGCTCAGGGGATTCTCGCGGTACTGCAGACTAAACCAGACTAAATTCACGTGGGCTACCCAGATATTTTCCCCATAGAACTCAATGATCAGCAGCTCTGATTGGTTAAAGCACGGCCCATGCCCGAATATCGGCAAGTTCTGCTAATATTTCAGAGACCCATGCCGGAACATGCGCCTCTGAGCACAAACCATTCATTTGAATACGGCGCCATCTTGGATCGCCGGGGCTTGGTTAAAAATTCTGTATTTTTAACCTTGTTTTATTTATGTACTTGTCTGGTTCACACTGGAGACTTTTGCAAAAGTATTCCAATGGGGTTTTACTGCAAATGGCAAATACATGAATCTGAGACAATCAACACAGGGGAACAAGACAGGAAGTCAAACTAAAGCCAAAAGCAAAAACTGATTTCAAAATAAAACCAAAACCAACTACAAAATAATAAAATACCACACACCATGACAAACCCCTTCTCCAAATTTTGTTTTAGATCTTTCCAGAACCGTAAAACCAAAGGGTGACAGTGGCTCCGTTGGTCGAGCATTGGCCTTTGAGCCTGATGGTTGTGGGTTCGATCCCATCATAAGACCTTCTCCACCTCTTCCCTCGGATGTCTGCTGTGGTGTGTCCTTGGGCAAGACACCTCACTCACATTGCCTATAACTGGGTAAAGTCCGCACTATATATACAGTACATTTTTGAATGACTGGTATTGGAGCATTTACAGCATTTATAAGAAACATATTTTGTATATTTTGTGTGCTCCCTGTGTGCTCTTACTACTGTCCTGTCTGTGCGCTGCAACATTGAAATTTCCCCACTGTAGGACGATAAAGGATCTCATATCTTATCTTATCTTGCTGCATGCCTTGATGTGTATTAATCAAACTGAAATTTCCCCACAGTGGGACGTATAATGGACCTTCTTCTTCTTCTAAACAAAACTATTGGAGATATGTACTTGAATAATGACTTATTATTAACACAAGCTTGGATAGTCTTTTCTGGTCAATCTTTCTGAAGGATCACCAGGTTTTCTCGACTCGATCGTACGTCCTGCGGCTCGCTGGTGATGTGTCGGTGGCGTGGAGCTGTCTCTGGGCTGTAACAGGAAGCATCTGGGCTACACTGAACTTTATCTTCTGCAGACGGACTCAAGGCCGACGCGTTCACTAACAACACGCCACAAATGAGTAATCCCTGAGCTGAAGCCGCGCCAGGTCCAAATACAACATGTGTTACTGCTAATGAATGTGCTCAAGGACTGATAACTGGCTTTGGAACAGTCACAACACAACATTCAAGTCAGAGTCCTCCAGGTCCACTACTGGGAATGTGCTCGCCTTCACACAGATCTGACCAGGAAGTGGGACACAAGGGTCTCAACTCTGAATAGACTATCCCAGTGTTATCAAAGGGCAATTGCATACTGTCATTTGTTCGTTAAGTTTTGAGCGCAAGTCCAAAAATCTGGATTTATTCCAGAATTTCAGACGTGAGTAATCCTACTAATGCACCGGTTTGATTTAGTGATTTTTTGGACACACAAATACACTTCACATTATTGTAATTATTCATTCTCTCCATGTGATAAACTACTGTTGGAGCCACAGCTGCCCTAGGGCACACTGACAGAAGCGACGTACCCAGTCAGTGCCATCGGCCCCTCTGACCGCCACCACAACGATTCACATACCAGATCCATTCTAATGTTGGTGAAGTGTCTTGCCTAAGGACACACCGGCAGTTTGGCACTTCGGCCGTTGTCGCCCCACTATGGCACCTGGTGTTCCCAGAGGTCTCACATCACATAACTAACCAGGACCTATCCATCTTAGTTTCGGAAGTCTGATTGATAACAGGGCAAGGTCATTTTGGTCAGAGGCCGAAATGACAAAATTATAGCTGGCTTCTGGCTGACAGTTTTTTTTTTTTTTTTTTTTACATTTTATTCAGCAATACAGAAAAAAGAGACAAACGTATGAAAACATAATGACATACAAAGAGACACAAAGAAACATATGGTGCAGGTAGAAAAGGACGTTTGACAGGAGACAAAAGGGAACGTGTGTGTGTGTGTGTGTGTGTGTGTGTGTGCGTGCTCTGTGTGTGTGTGTGTGTGTGTGTGCGCGCTCTGTGTGTGTGTGTGTGCTCTGTGTGTGTGTGTGTGTGTGTGTGCTCTGTGTGTGCGTGCTCTGTGTGTGTGTGTGTGTGCGTGTGTGTGCGCTCTGTGTGTGTGTGTGTGTGCTCTGTGTGTGTGTGTGTGTGTGTGTGTGTGTGTGCGTGCTCTGTGTGTGCGTGCTCTGTGTGTGTGTGTGTGTGTGCGTGCTCTGTGTGTGTGTGTGTGTGTGTGTGCACATGCTCTTTAAGTTGGTTTTATGTGTGTTTGATCATGATTTTACGTGTCCGTTCAGAGAATGCACAAAGGGTGTAGATGTCAAGGAAGACAACAAGGGTGGTGGCTACCATAACTAAAGTTAAACCAGGGCAAAGTTGCCGAAGGGACTATAATTTATATAATTTATATGTAACCAAGTCGTTCCTTCTGAGATGGGAATGTGAATGTTGTGCATTAAAAACCCTTTAAGAGGGAGATAGCAGCTGAATCTTTACCAAAAGTAATCGTAACTGGGCTGTTAAAATGCCATCACAGTTAATAAAACACTTATTTCTATCTTTTACATCTGTGGATTTGTTTTTAGTTTTTTATTTTTATTTTTTTACAACGGAAAAAAAGAAAAAAACAAAACAAAATGTGACCTGATGTAAAGAAGACTTGTCTTTGTAGACTGGTCCAGTGACTTTTATTTATCTCTTCATATTTGTGTTCTGGATTCATATTTCAGAATAAGACTTAATTGTTGGTTTTCTTGAGGATATTTATTCTTCAAAATAAGGCACATTTGGACACACAAATTCGTCACCTACATTTACAGTTAAAACATTTACGAGGTGAGAAAAAATACCAAAAATAAAACATTTTTGAGCAGAATTTTTTTGATATTATCGACCTTGACCGGCCCTGAGTCATTTAGACCCTTTTAGACCCAAATTTCGTATTTTTTTTCCATGTCTATTCATCTGTGGTGGGTAATTTTGACCCGAGGTGAAGTGTCGTAAGCTTCGTGAACACAATCAGAGTCTCGGGGGCAGAGGACGTGTTTGTGCTCCTGGTGGAAGCTAAAGGACAGTTGTTGATAAGAAACAGCTACATGGTTGAGTCTAGACTTTATATCAGGGGTCTCCAACCTTCTCCAAGTGGCAGAGAGCTGCTCCCTTTAGACAGTTGACGAGTAAATCTGATCTGGGTAAAAAAAAAATCTTAAAACAATGGAACAACTTTAGAAATTCATCTGAAATGTTTTGTTGGCGGGTTAGGGTTCGCCGGGCTGTACTTTCTACACATTTGTTTGGCTTTTTTTGTTGCGCAGCGTTGTACCCATGAAACAATCCATCTTAATTTAAGAAAGCAAAAGAGTAGACATTTCTTTATGATTACTATATTGTTAAAGTAGCAGTATGTATGATTTTCATGTCAAGTCATCATTAAAGGGCCCTAATCTGTCCAAAGGCATTAATAAAACATGATCTTTTCCAATACTTCTTTTACTGATAAAAGTAGTTCAGGGATATTTGAAGTTCAAAATTAGTTTTACAGCCCCTAAATGTTGTTATTGTTTTTGTTTTGATGTCCCGGCCTGAACCGTTTCACCAATTAGAAAGTCTGTAATCCGGGTTGCCAGAACTCACCGCTTGAAGCAAATATCACTGGTAAAGTAACATGTGGCCACAGGTCTCATTATAGTTCTCAAATAAATTACGACAAAACAAGGAATAAAACCAGGACTTCTATCTTTGTGAAAAAGGTGTTGGTTATAGATTTGTAGTTGACAAAATTCTTGTCTATTCAGTTTTTATCCCCAGCTGGATTTGTCTGCATATCTGGCAACCTGAGTCCGTTGTACATAAAATGATAAATTATGTTGATATAATGACCAGATATCCGGATCGCTCTCACCAATAAGAACTGCTTAAAAGGACCACTTTTTTGTCTTGTGAAAGTAGCTCTCTGGGTGAAAAAGGAGACGCCTGTTTCA